GGGAATGAGAGGTGGTAGTCCTATAGCAGTGAAGTCATTTGTCTGAAACGAACGAGGCAGAGGAAACACCGCAGCATGTGCTCATGGAGTGCAGTTATAGCGTAGGAGAACAACGGGCTCAATTTCTTCGATCACCATCGTCGCTGCAGGAGGCCTGCAGCAGCCTAGACGGGCTGCTCGCCTTCTGGGGGGATCTGGGGTGGTTGGAGTAGGAAGATGAACCACAAATCGCGCACGATGGCCCGATCATGAGGCTAAGTGCGGTATTCGATTGCCCTGCAAAACTAACTACCTAACTGAAACGAACGAAGGTTTCAAGGTTAGGCGAACGTCGTCCTTCTGTCTTGTTTTCGCTCATGGAATCACCTAGAATAAATTTCGTTATCGTCATACTTACGGACGAACTGATAATAAATATTGTGAAATTATGTTTGCACAGCGTTGACGTAGATTTATATATAGTTAAAATACCTCCATTGTGTGATAGCCAATTTACGCATTTAATCGTTTATCATGAAATACAATTAGTCGATTTTATTTAACTAAGGCTGCGTTTACAGTTTTAATTAAAAGCTGCGAGAAAAGGCTGGTTGTATACTGTACAAGGTGGACCGACGACCTCATAAAGGCAGCAAGAAGGCGCTGGATGCAGGCTACCAACCGGTCATTGTAGAAATCATTGAGGGAGGCCTATGTGCAGCAGTGGACGTTCGGGGAGTAGTTTATCACCCGTATTCACAAACGATGCTTGCTTAAGTGAAGCAGCGAATTGAACGCACAGCGTTGAATAGAGCTCTGTGATTGGATCATGTGTGACCCTGTGCGTACACGCGCACTGTGACACCTCAGTAATGTTTGTGAATACGGGCGTAAGTGCGCCTCAAAGTGGGTGCGATTCAAGGCGTACCTCGTTCTTCTTAGTCAAAAATTTTAATAGCCTACAGCGCTACTGGCATATGTATTAATTAATCAACATAACTAGTGACGTCAGTCATTAGCTGAAACGCAATTCAGAACGGCACAGTTGTGTTGAACAAACAAGAATAAAACATATTTAGCATCTTGATATTTAATTTATTAATATTATTATATTTTCAACCATATTTTTATTCGGTAGGTACCTACTTCTGTTTTTCTTTTACCTAGAGAATAAATATAAAACCTACTTTCGTACTTTCGATTCATTTCATCTATCCATCGTTCGTTCGTTCGTTCGTTTCAGCCATATGACGTCCACCGCTGAACAAAGGCCTCCTCCAAGGTTTTCCACAATGCACGGTCCTGCGCTGCCCGCATCCAGGCTCTTCCCGCGACCTTTATCAGACCATTATCGACTATTACAATACAAGATGGACCTCATAAAGGTAGCAGGAAGGCGCTGGATGCAGGCCGCTACCAACCGGGCAATATGGAAATCATTGGGGGAGCCCTATGTTCAGCAGTGGACGTCCTGTGGCTGAAATAATGATTCAGATGATGATACCATCACTGCTTGGCCAAATATTTTCTGCGCTGCCCGCAACAAATGTCATACGAGGACAGTTTCGTTCGCTCGTTCCACTTCCAGCCAAATCACTGATTTGCCTGTATAAAAAGTTGTAAGGTCATAAAAAGTTTTTGCAATTGTTAACTAGCTTTTAAAAAACATAACAGTCGGGTAAAGACACCCCTACTTCTGGAGCAGGCAGTAAGTAAAAGGGTTCATCGCGGGTGCGGGGAGTTTGATCCGAGCAATCCCAGCGTCATTATTGTAGAGTGCGTGGGCACTCATGGATCATTTAGCGTGTACCGATAACACTCAAACATTCGCGCAAGAATGGTGGGGCGCGTAGGGTTGCCAGGCTTAAGCCGGACATGTTTGGCTTTTTAGGGTCTTGTCCGGCCAAATTTTGCCTTGTCCGGCCTGTCCGGCTTTTGTTAGGCTTTTTATTTGGTTGCCGCGCCAGGCGAAAGTCGAGCCACAAAATCATATGAAGCGCACGCATCAGGATGTTGGTTAGCAACCGATGATGATAGTACTCACTCATGAGCTGACACTAATTGCACACACCCCCCCGTCACATGTCCGGCTTTTAGGGTAAAATGTCCGGCCAAATGAAACACAAAGTCCGGCTTTTGTGATTTTGGACCTGGCAACCCTAGGGGCGCGTCTTCGTGGATGAAACGATCTATAGTAGTAGTACGAATAAGTAAGGTAAAACCTTTACGTAAAACATTTTAATGAATTCACAATCAGAAGTTTACGATACGACTGTGGATAAGATTAAAAACATTAATGAATCAGACAGATGATCATTACTGCAAAAACTCTATTATTTAAGCTATCTAAAAAACCAAGTACCAGCATTGTGGCGCCAAAAATGAGAGTAATACGAAGCTTCAAACTCTCAGAGAGCCAAAAACAGCCGTGCGGCTTGCAAAGGTTGCTCTCACCGTAAGGTTAGCGCTCCAACTTCTTAAGCTTATAATAAGGCGAAGGAACGTCCATTTAAATAAAACTTGTAATAGTGGTTTCATGTGTTCCTTGACAATTGATTTGGCTTAGAAAAAAGTTATATGAAAACGTAGAATTCCTTTAAAATTGCGATTAATTGACTCACGAAATAGCGTACATATTATTTTTCGTGTGTCCCCTATTTCGTGACACTACCGATTCAAGGATATTATGGATAACATTTTGATGCTTGGTTTTTAAATAATTATTTATGATAATTTAAATGTAAGTTATGAAACAAATAATGCATTTATTTAAGTTTCTCGTGACCTAAATTCGGTATATGTTTCGTTCACTAGAATTTATATGACACGAGTTTGAAGTTCACATAATTATTAAAATATCCTAACTGTATGCATAAAACCTTATCCCGAAAGAGGGGACATGAGTTCACGAACTTAGAAACAGAGCAAAATTTTGTCACGAAACAGGATCCAAACAAGAGGTCCGCAGAAAAATTAATATAAAAAAAAGTTCAAACTATATAACTATAAATTATGTATTAACTTACTGTCAAAAGACCAAAGTTTAGCATACAAAAGCTTTCATACTGATATCATGCTTGGTTATTTTTAAATAAAATGTTAAAGTCGTAAGAGCCTTAATATACCGAAGTAGGGGGCGCTTACCTTAAGTGTGCCAATAATATAAATTTTACTCTGTATAACTAGATAATATGTAGGTTCTTTCAGAGCATTCAAGCACGTCCGAAATATAGCTCGCCTTCTTATCACTTCAGGAACTTGTCATCCGCTTAGCACTGGATCAAGTCGAACCTCAACTTCAAACTCCTCCTATGTTCTTCTGATTAATTTCGTTGCGGGTCCAATGTAAGTTTAACTTCCCCCCGGGACAAACTTGACCTTCACTGGTTGGCTGGCGGTCAAGCTGTAGATCCTGGCTACACAGGAGTTGCAGGTGGGAACGAGAGGTGGGAATAGTCCCGTACCACTTCGGGACAACATATGGGCTGGTGCTGGGAAGTGGCGGAAGAAATTCGGTCACCTTTGTCTTCCTTTTGTTTCTAACTATTAATAAATAAACGAATAAAATAACATTCAATGTTAATTCATACATTATTGAATGTCACAAATGATGTTAGTAGAATTCCAGTAATCTACAACATGTTTATTTACTTATTTAAGGACTAACAAGACGATTGGAAAAATACTCCCATAGAATTCTTACATGTGGAAATCATTGTGGGAGGCCTATGTTCAGCAGTGGACTGGACGTCCCGTGGCTGAAATGATGATGATGATGATGATGTACTCAGTTCCACCCAGTGGAAGAGGGGTGGAAAGCAACAGAATAGAATAGAATGGGATGGAATGGAATGGAATAGAATTTATTTATTGCTTTTTCTGTGTACGAGACAGTTCTTACTGTGGAAAGTTCTCAGTAACTTCCTTGCCTGTGAATATAAATAAATTAGAGAGAGATGATGATGATCACCCTCGCTTAGGCCTGTTACCTTTTTCAGTCATTTCCTATTGTAAGACAGTTTACAATAGGCTAACCACCACTGTAATCTAGTGGTAAGACCATTTGTCTCAGACCGATAGGTCTTGGGTTCGATTCCCAGTGAGGTCGGCATTTTCAGCTCAGTTTGATAGGGTTTGTTCTAAGTCCGTTTGGAGCTACCAACATCTTTATCAAATTATTATCTAGCATTGACCTGTTTCCGTAGTTAGAAGTATAGCCTGAGCCAGAAAAGCTCTTGGTCTACATCTCTCCTGATGGAAAGTGACGATCACGTCGAAGGTGAAGCGAGCTACACCCGAAATCCTCAACCACAGAGGAACTGGCTATCTTACCTCCAACTGCTGGAATACAACAATGCTGTTAACATTGTTGTTATAGCGACAGACTAAGATAAGATGGTAGTAGCTATCATTATAAGGAGAGATGGCGGGAGATCGTGCGGAGAACTGTATCTGTCTCTACAACCAACGTGAATGTTAATATTTTTGGCATTGAAGTATAAATAAATAAATAAATAAATAAATGCTTTAACGTGATCACGACTGCTCTTCCAAGAGCAAAACGAAGAAGAAGACGTATTATTTCGACTATGTTCTTCTGATTAATTTCGTTGCCCGTCCAATGACAATTTAACTTTCCCTCGGGACAAACTTGACCTTCACTGGTTGGGATATTGACGGTCAAGCTGTAGATCCCGGCTACATAGGAGTTGTAGAGGTGGGAACGAGAGCTGGAATTAGTCACGTTTTTACCATTTATTCTTAGGTAGTCCGAGTAAACTAATTTAACCACCATTTACGGGTATTTACGATGTAACAGCTGAAGCGCTGTTTTCTCAAAAAGCCAAATAATCGTCATTGCCTTTAATAAGCCAATCAAAAACATATAATTAGCTACGGTCGCATGTAAGTAGTAAATTGTGTTTAAATAAGTACACCTGCTTGCACAGGTGGTTTGTATTTGTTTTAATAAAGATATAAAATGCTTCTCCGACTGTCAGATCATTAGTGGAATACAGATTATAATCTGACCACTATTTTGTGCGTTTTGTTTTAAATTAAATGAGAATCGAGGTGATTTTGGTGGGCCTGCTAACTGTAAGTGATTTTTTTAAGTGCAGTAGTGATGGATCAGCCCGGTTTCCACTTCTCAGCATCAGCCTATATGTTGTCCCGAAGTGGTGGTAGGGCAAGCTATATTTGGGACGTGTATAAGCGCCCTGGAAAGGGCCTTTTGAATAAAAGCTTTGATTTTGACTAAAGCGGAGGAGGAGGCTGGAAACTAATCAGATTTCCTGGCAGCTGAGCGGAGAGAAGATGTGGAAATAAAGAAATTAGAGGTGGAATTGTGTAAAGCAATCGTAATCATTTGACAGTTCATAACGTACGATAAAGTCAGTTATACAAAGCGTTTGATTGACAGAATAAGCGTACGTTATGAACTGTCAAATGATTACGATTGCTTTACACAATTCCACCTCAGATTGGTTACTCTTGGTGGAAACCGGGCCTTAGAATACAGGATCTGGGTCCTTTTTGGTTTGCAAAGTAGCGAGGAAAGAAGAGAGTGTTTTTACTTCGTTAGCTTAAATTTTTGTCGCTGTTTTGGCATAAAGAGGTGATGATCGCCATTTTAAAGTTTGAAAGCTCTGGCTTGCACCACCTTACTTTAAACCGTAACTATAACAATTAGTTACTTACCGGTGTTTTTGTATGGAGTTTGACAGATTTTTGACGTTTGTTAATATCAAAATAAAATGGTGCAACCTGCCTATATGTAGAGACAACACCGCGACCAAGTCTGATATTTTTAAGCACTGTGTGTGCCAATTGTTCGAATCTTAGTTTCTACTGCAGGAGCTAAACCCTCTCTAATTTACCAGAGGCAAATGGAGGATTTGTCCTACACTCCCCACGCTGGCCAGACGGGTTGGGGAGGCTTGATGTTCGCGTATTGGTCCCATAGTCGCATTGTACGACTAAGAGAGGGATTGATGCTATTCTAATGTAATCACGTGTTAGCATACAACCTTTTCGAGTTAACTGCGAACTTTGCGACCGTGACGTCACATCGACGCTCTGGTACTGGTGAGCAGGGTCGGACTGGGCCGGAAGGGCCCGGGTGGCTGATAGCAATCCCGAGGCCCGAGACTAGATCATGGTGATGGGATACTATCGAAAAATACTGAGATACACAAATTGAGATAAACAAACTGTAAATAATTTATTACAATACTAAAATAAAGTAAAATAATAAGTAGGTATTTACTAATAACAAAGAATAATATAAAGCTAGCCAATCAACATTTTTTTTAATACAGGAGAACTTTCAGCTAAGCTGTTAATGACTTCGTAATCCTTGATTAGATCCGATTCTGTATTTAATACAGTGTGAGTTACGATAAAGTGCACATATGAAATTAGGTGAAACTAGATCTATTTTTATCGACAAAAAACAGGTCAAAAATTTTTTGAGATATTAAAATAATATAAGCATTTTTTTTTCTTCCAATTACTTATTGTAAAGAAAACGTAATAACTTTTAAACTAAGAGTAAGAGGTATATCCTGTAAAAACAGTAATAATGCTAAATAACAGACGATACTAAAAAATACATAAAATACTCAGAAAATGCCAACAAATAATAAAAAATGATACTTTTTGAAAAAAATCTTCTTTTAAATTCGTGTATTTTTAGTTATTTGATAAATTTCTCCAAAAAAAGCCCCTATAACAGGTGGTTTTTATTACTTTGCATTATTCTCTATCGTATTACCTTTGTAAAACCAAAAATCGCATGTCTCTATCCCTATCACAACATTTGCTATGATCGTTTGAACTAAGCCTCTCCGGGCGCGCCATTCAACGCTTCGTTAACAACGAAACTGAAAAACTCTAGATTTGTAATTTTGATAAAGACAAGTTAGATTTCAAATAAAAAATAAAAATTTCGAAGTAAAATAAGCATTTTAGTTAAAATTAAAATTGTCCCAACCTGTAGCGGAGAATAATGTTGTGGTAGGCCCTTTGTTCAAACTATCATAGAAAATGTTGTGATAGGGATAGAGACATGCGATTTTTGGTTTTACAAAGGTAATACGATAGAGAATAATACAAAGCAATAAAAACCACCTGTTATAGGGGAATTTTTTGGAGAAAACCAAAAAAACACGAATTTATAAGCAGATTTTTTTCAAAAAGTATCATTTTTTATTATTTGTTGGCATTTTCTTAGTATTTTTTTAGTATCTTCTGTTATTTAGCATTATCACTGTTTTTATTTTATCAGTATATACCTCTTAGTTTAAAAGTTATTACGTTTTCTTTGCAATAAGTAATTTTAAGAAAAAAAATTATATAAAAAATTAAATAAAAATCTCAAAAAAATTTTTGTCGATAAAAATAGGTCTAGTTTCACCTAATTTCATATGTACATTTTATCGTGACTCACACTGTATAATTAACGAATCTAACAGTTCTTGCCCCAGTAGAAAACGAAGTCTCGTTTTAATGCACTTTAATGCTGAAAATCGTCTCTCACAAGTCACTTGCGTGAATGAAATTGTGAGAATTAAACACTGTAATTACATAACAAAAGCAAAATAAAACTCCCATCATTTTCGGGCAATTTTCCGAGTATTGCATTTATTAGAGAACGCAATTTTATTTTTGGGATATGTGTGGGTCAATGTGGTCAATAGAAGCTTAACCTCAAGTTTTTGGGGTCGCCACCCTTGTCCCCCAACCGCCATCTTGAAAAAAGGGGTGAAAACACTTTTTTAAGCGTCTTACAAAAATTCGCTGTGTCATAATTTGTAGCAAATTGTTTTGCCTACAAATATGTTTACACAGGCCCCTCTTTCCCACTGGGCACTTTGGGCACGTGCCCAGGGCCCCACGACGGAAGGGGCCCCCGTCTGCTCAAAAGACCTTTTTCCAGATGATAAGACCCCCCTTGATCCTTAAGTGCCCAGGGCCCCTAGTAAGTTCTCTTTCAAGGTCACTAACATAATTATTATTACTGGACGGGATTATTACTGATGGAAGAAACATATTCCATAAACAACAACCACTCACCGATCACAGCGGGCATCAGCTCGTGATACACGATGTGCTGGTAACTACATAGCAATGTTCACGTCCCTGGCGACCTGGTAAAGCTTGTCGTCGCCCCAGCAAGGGTTGAGCTCGTGCAGCTTGTCGGCCAAGTAATTGTGGTTGCGGAACAGCCAGAAGATCAGGTTGACCTGATCTCAACATCAATGCCGTGGAGAGCGTTGCGCTTAGCTAAATTATGTTTTTGTGACGAGTGGTTTCCCCACAATAGTCCAGCGGCGGCGGGGTTCAAACCAGTGTTCCTTGGATCCCGAGTCGGCCAGTCTGACATCTTCACCGTTCGGTATTGTAGCTTTGTTCTATAGTTCAGGATTCTATGTGAGTATCTACTGCTTGACTGCCAAAAATCCAACCAATGAAGGCCAGGGCATCATGAAAGAAACATAAATGGTCAAAGCCCTCTTTCCCACTGGGCACTTTAGGCACGTGCTCAGGGCCCCGCGACGGAGGGGGCCCCCGTCTGTCCGTCTCAAAATACCTTCTTCTAGATGACAAGGGCCCCCTTGATCCGTAAGTGCCCAGGGCCCCTAGTAGGTTAAAGACGGCCCTGTGTTTACATAAATTTTTGTCCTAAATTAAATTGGAGAAGTTATACATAAGCAAAAAGGATTTTTTTTTTGCTTATAACTTCTTCAATCTTTAATTTAAGGCAAAAAGTTATATTAACATATTTGTAGGCAAAGCAATTTTCTACAAATTATGACTGTACAATTTTTTTGTACGACGCATAGTTTCCGAGACATAGTGGGGGGCCCGCGCAGGCTGGGGCCCGGCTGGCAAATGCCACCCCGACTGTATGGCCAGTCCGACGCTGCTGGTGAGTGCGAGGGAGAGCCACATTCCAGCGACGTACGCAGTTAGCGCGATCGGGATCGGTGTACTTGAATTATTTGTGCATAAATATCTTTAGATCTGTATTTCTTTTCATGCAAGCCTTATAGGACAGACGCCCGTATTGACAAATATTGCTATGAGGTCTCCCAGTGCGCGTGGACGCACAGGGTGACACACGAACCAATTACAGAGCTCAAATCAACGCTGAGCGTTCGATTTGCTGCTTCACTTAAGCAAGCATTGTTTGTGAATACGGGTGTAAGCTTTTCACGCTGGCCTCAAGAAGATCTAGCCTAAGCTGTGAGCTCTAGGTACCTAAATAAAGCGTAGTAATAAATATTGTTGTATAATTTACTATAACATCATTATATTTCAGGTCACTTTGACGTTAGCAGAGCCGCAGCCACATCGTAAGTATCTACACTTTATACTTATCTTATTAAATATCTAGTAAAGCCTGGTCCGTGAGCACGTAGAATTTTGTCCAATGACTCCAAGTTACCCATCCTTATCGCTCGCGCGTAATTATGTTGCTGTCGCGCTCGCACACTCACTGCGGGCGCGCGTCTCACAGTCGCGACAGCAATATAATTACGCGCGAGCGATAAGGATGGGTAGCTTGGGGTCATTGGACAAAATTCTACGTGCTCACGGACCAGGCTTTAATAACAATATACCTACTTAGGTAGGTTCTCAAAGGATAAACTTTTGGACATAATTGTTTTGAAAGAATTTCTATGACAGACAATATACCACATGTAGAAGTTATTAGTGTACATTTACGATAGAAGAAGAAGATAGTAACATAATCTTCTTTTTGTCCTAGGTGAGCCTCACAAGGTGAAGGTAGTTCGAGAATACAAAACTCATGAAGGTAGTTTCATTAGTTAATAATAAAGAATTACTATTAAAGTAGCAGGAAGGCGCTGGATGCAGGCCGCTACCAACCGGCCATTCTGGAAATCATAGTTCAGCTGTGTGATGATGATTTAGGTTTATAAACAAGGACGTCTTTAATCTTCAATAATGATCAGGCAGAACATAGAAGCGAGCTTCACCCACAACCACAGAGGAACTAGCTTTGTCCAGGAGGGCGAATTCACCGCGAATGTCTTCGCACGAACACAGGCGTAGAATTTTGAATTCGCGCGTGTCTTGTGGACGCAATGTATTGGCTGCTAGTATCTCGCCATAGCGCGTACATGATTCTACGCGCGTAGGATTCGCGGCGAATTTGCTTCCTGGACAAGGCCTTACCTCTCCAAATGCCGGAACACAACAATGCTGTTAACATTGCTGTTATGGCGACAGACTTAAGCAAGTTGGTGGTAGCTAGCCAGGTGGTTCTAGAACTGGCTTGTTCTTTATCTAGCAAACAAACCTAGGAAAAGACTTTCGTCTTCGAATCGTTTGCGTATTCGGGGACCGAACCGGCGTTCCCCGGATCACGAGTCGGCCAGTCCGACCCCTTCACTGTTCGGCTATCGTGGCTTTCAACGAGACCTCTAGGTTTTAAACTGCGGGTAGAAGGAACTGTTTTTAATTTGATTCCTTTTCAGAAGGCCCGCACGAAATCCACCGCGAGAGGGTAGAGAGGCACGGCCCCGAGCATGGTCCTCATGAACGACACCATGGACCAGAACATGGTCCTCATGAACGACACCATGGACCAGAACATGGTCCTCATGAACGACACCATGGACCAGAACATGGGCCTCATGACCGACACCGTGGCCCTCATGACAGGGACGATCACGAAGACCACGGCAGGAGGAGAGGTAAATACTTTAAGTTTATAAAATCCCTAACGGGTCATTCAATTTTAGGCCTGGACTCCAGAAAAGCGGTGAATTTCTTTTCTCTCATACAAGGAATAACTAATAAATTAATAAAAAATACCTACTAGTTTAAAGAATTTGAATTAAAATAGAGAATCAGCAGACCATGTGCTTGTGACCACATGGCTAGCAACACAGCCGAAACTTCAAGCTACCAACCTACTCATGAAGTGGGCCACAGTTCCAGCTACCCCATTCATTACGTTTTATTGTAAAGAATTACCATATAAAGAAAGAAAGAAAGATATTATTTTTATTTAGTCCAATCATCCTTAGATCATTTTGATCTTCTTCTTGTCGTGTCGACAACAAACCTACACAGCGTCGGCCCAAAACTCCGCCACAAGAATGGCGTTATCAGTAGCCTTCATTAAATTTTCCTGCGTGCAGTTGTTTGGGCAGGCAGGGCACCACATCATGTGGTTCGTCGACTGGGGAACAAAACCACACCTGCACTCCAAGTTTGAGCTATCCAAGAATCCCCACCTGAACAGATTGTCCTTACTACGGCCAACCTGCGTCCAATGTCTATTTAAAGACTTCCAGGTAGACCAGGGGAGCTCATGTCCTGGTGGAGGACTCTCAGACACAGGGACAAAAGGAAGGCGCTGGACGCAGGTCGCTACCAACTGGGCAACGTAGAAAGCATTGGGGGAGGCCTATGTTCAGCAGTGGACGTCCTATGGCTGATGATGATGAAACAGTTTGCGGAATGTCAACTTCTAAATCTTATAAATTATTTGACTTCATAGGGCCCCACGAACACGAGCACAGCGAGTCCAAAGAGTACAAATCTCACAGCGAGAGGAAGGTGGTCAACGGACGCGTCGTGAAGGACGACTCTTCAGATGAGGAACGCGAGTGGGAGGATGGCAGGAAGACCAGGGACAGCCACCATGAGCATAGGGGACCCAAGGGCACTGTCCGTAAGTTCTTTTTAAAAAAAATCATGTAGAACTAGGTGGACCGACGATCTGATGAAGGTCGCGCGAAGAACTTGGATGCGGGCAGCATTGGACCGGTCGTTGAAATCCTTGGGGGAGGCCATTTGGCTGAAATGAACGATCATGGCAGGTAGGTATTTGACCGCAATTGCACCTGATATTAAGAGAGATGCTGTATGGTAGGTACACACCTTCTCTGTAAGTGCCTCTTCAATCTTGCCTTGAAAAGGTCCGGATTATGAAATATGTTCCGGAAAGACAGCAGCAAGCATCGAATTCCCGTCCATAGCTGTTCGCATTATAAAATAGTTGTCGAATCGCTTAGTGGGAGCTGGTGGAATGTCGACAATGTAGGGATGGTACGCTAACCTGCGTCTGGTTCACCGGTGATGGAAGGAATTTTAAGCTATCTGTAAGCTTTAAGCCAGGAAGCCACGTTAGCTGAATCGTGACGGGGGACTGGTCGACTCGTCGTCCGAGGAACGCGGGTTCGAACCCCGCCGCCGCTCGACTGTTGTAGCAGAGTAAATACAAATGAGTAGGTCATCTTCATAGAAACGCATCGAGCGCGGTTTGTATGTGCGTCAATACAAATTCGGCGCAACTCCCCGCTTATCCACGCAAAATTTTGTGCGTGCGCGCCGCATACGTATTGGCGCGCTCACACAAACCGCGCTCGGTGCGTTTTTATGGTTTCTATGAAGATGACCTACTCATTTGTTTTACTCTGATTGTAGTGAGCCTACTCGTAACACAAGTATATTTAGATAAGTATGAGGGTCTAACGGGACTAAAAAATATTCCTAAAAAACCATCATTTTTAGCTTTGATTTGATTTTATTTGATTTGATTGTTTTAGGTAAAGGAGTGAGACTGGTGTCCGACATCCTGATGAAAATCTTCGGAAAGAAAGGTAAAATAATAAAAATAGATTGTAAAGTTAAATACCAAATTAAGCGAGGTTTAGACTAGCAATAAAACTTGCAGAAGCTGACTTCCGCAAGTTGTCACCACTGTGTAAAAATAGCTGTGGCAAGCCAACTTAATATTTATTTCGAACAGATTTATTATAAACTATATTTTACCACATTATAAATGTTAAGCCTAGTTTTTAAACGTGTCCTTCCTATCAAGACCGATGTCATTATTTTTAAGGTAATTGTTCGTATTGGCCGCTGCGATACAAGCTTTCCTGCTTAGTGCAGAGACCGCCAGAATAATTTGTACAATGTGACATCTTTTAGTAATAAATACTTTTTTTCTTTTTTTTACCTATTTACACAGTGCAGCAGTGGTGACAGCTTACGGAAGTCAACTTCTGCAAATTTTATTGCTAGTCTCAAACCTCGCTTTAGGAATTTGTCGGCCGTTTGGTGCAGTGTAGTTCATAATGGTCAACTAAGCCAAAAGTCGCGGGTTCGATTCCCGCACAGAATCATTCTTGATAATGAACTTATTTATTTGTTTGTATTGGTATGGAAGTTTTATATCTGACCGATCCTGAAACTGCTTCACGAGCTCTATCATCGGTATAAATGAAAAGATACAGAATAAAGGTCATAGCACACTTATCCACCCGGAAAGGGATCACCGTATCGCCTTCGTTCACGTTACGGTGCGGTTAAGTATGCGTTACAGTGAAGTTTCATACAAAGAATACTGACCGCCTCGAATTGATACGGTGACGATTACGATCCGTTTCCAAGTTGATATGCGTACTAACTGGATATATCCAAAAACTTAATGTTTCCAGCTTGTTATTTTTTAATGAAAGATGAACGATTTTTTAATGTAATTAAACTAATTTGAATGTTTTTTATTGCAGTGAACAAGGAGGGAAGCGACCTGCTTTTCAAACTTACTGGTCACGATGGTAAGTTATTTTTTTTCATACAACTGTTATTATTATTTATTTATTTATTTATAAGACATAATTCGACAGTGCAACGTCAAAATTAAATAGCGTTCTATTTAAAGGCCGCATTTAAACTTATAAGTTTTACTCACGTAAGAAACTTACGTCATTTCTTATTACTTGCGTAAGTATACATAATAATATGTAAATTACTTACGTAAATTATACAAAAGTAACTTACAAGTGTTAAGATGGGGTAATATAAACTTTTTAATCGTTTTTAAAAAATAGGTATAAAATAAAAATGTTTAAAAAAGGAGAAGGACCAAAATTACACCGACTCCGGCCATCCCAAAATCATGTTAATAATAATTTGTCCTAATAAATAAATAACGCAACTTTTTAGAGAATTTTTGAGTCGGTTTTAAATTTTTTGTTATTAAAATAAATCCTATTTTTTATACCGTGTGTGCCCTTGCTGGTTATTGCTTAAACATTTCCTTTCGTATCTAGATTTAAGTACCTACATTAAACGTGTAAGAACTGTCACCAATAATTAATTAATTAATAACAATTACATACTTAGCAAACTACACACACGCTGAATAAACCAATTAATCAGCCCTCATACAATATGCTTTTCAGAATAATAATTTGTGCGCAATAGGTTTTAAATAAATTAATATTTTAGACACGGAAAACAGGCGTGTTTTTCAGCAGTCAACAATAGATAATTACCTCAATTGGATTATAGTTAAACAGGTGTGAACCAAGGACTTGTAGTTAGATGAATTTATCAATACTTTACATTGATATTAGGTATTAAAGTATGAAATTGCCGTTTTGTTTGAGAATTTAACTAATATTCACTTTTTCCATAAAATTTTTGTTTTTTTTAATGAAGCACAAGTCTGTGAAATTTTGTGGGTAGATTGAGACAACATTAAGATTTAAGTATATAAAGAAAAAAAAGATGAAAAATGACATAAAAAAAATATGAATATTTTTATAACGGAAACGGATCTCACGAGCGACGAGCTTATTTGTAGATTTAGGTACTTCTAGTAAAAAAAAAAAGAATAAAATTTTACTAGTAAATAAGTCCTTGAAATTAAGTTTAAAATAAAAAATATGGACTTAGCCATAAGAATTATACAGGGTGGAATTTTGTGATGCCACCTGAAGGGAAAGTACTGATAATACTATAGATAAAAAAAATCCTCAAATAAAACATTCTTTTATTTTTGAAAACAAAGAGCATTCAAAGATTTCTATATCATGCTACGACCAATAGGAGCGGACCAATGAAAAATCTTGCAAAAACGGAAAAAATCTATTTTCACGCGTACTTAGCCGCGGGCACAGACAGCTAATATTTTTCAAAATGAATGAACTTATTTATTGAAACTTTTGTACATAGAAATAATGTACAATGGCGGACTTAGGGCTCTCGCCCACGGCGACTTTTTGTCTGACTGTAGCGCGTTAGTAGCGCGTTGGCGTCACTTTCTAGTGCGGTGCAAATGCGACTAACGCGCGTTAGTAGCGATGCCGTGGGCGAAGGCCCTTAATGCTGGGTGGTCAACCACAGGTCAAGCGAATAGTAAAAGTGCTTTTTTAAAGCCTACTTACAGAAATAAATGAGTTTTACTGAGTTTTTAATAAAGGCGGTGCATTAATAATTGTTTTTCTTTACAGATGAGGATGAGGCCATGGACTACATCCAGAATTTTGCTCGCTTCACCAGCCGCCAGCAATGCCACGAGTTCATCAGGAAATTCCGTGGATCCAGGTCTATGGAGTTCGTTACGGAGTTTTTGGAGCAGATGGAAGGCTCCACAAGTAAGTTTCTTCATCATCATCATCATGGACCTTTAAGGTCATAGACTTATCAACTCGGAAAGGGATCAACACCGTATCGCCTTTCGCTGCGCTGTCAACCGCGAGGCGAGGCGTTTACGTTACGCTGCGGAAGTGTGCGTTGCAGTATGGAGTTTCATACACAGAATACTGACTGCCTCGAGTTGATACGGTTACGATCCATTTACATATACCATTTACATTATCCCGGGGTGATAAGTGTGCTTCGACCTTAACCTGTCTGTCTGTCCCTGCAATGTAGGGATGCAATTTAACATTTTTACCCGAAAAATGGGCAATTAATCACTTTTTCTATTATAATTTCAGATGTCAAAGTCTTGATAGACATCGCACAGACCATAACCGGGGAAAAGGGTGAGTATTTTGTTGTGTATTTTAATATGAATATAATATTAGGTTCGAGTTTTTTTTTTGGGAAACGTTATACAGGGTGTTAAGTAGGTAAATGAATATTTTTTTTGATTTGATTTATTTTCAGATGTAACAAAGGCTTTCAATGTGATCAAGAAGCTCACAGGACACGCAGACTTCGACGGCATGTTTGAAATACTGCAGCTCATTTCCGGAGACAAAGGCAAGTACACACTGTTGCGGGGAATTCGCGGGGCTTTCGTGGGGCGTACGACTTTGGTTTCTACCCCACGCGTGTTGTAGCTTTCCATATCAATAAGATTTATTTATCCACACTGCACATTTACTTTCTATTTAACATAATAACTAATATCGCATTGGGGTAGGTAATTTTTAATGTAAAAAATATGATTTTTGTTATTTAATTAAATAAATAAATAAATGTAAGGGCCATGGATGCCCCGCCCACAAAACTTAAGAAGTCCCTAGTATTACAGTTTTTTCTCCACATATTTTTGTTTATAATTGTTGCTTTGCGTTTAGGACTAACTGCGCTGTATAAAAATGATAACCCATTATTTTATTAATGATATTATTGTTAACGATCATTATTAATTTATATTGCAGATAGTCACCAAATCGCCGACTTCTTCAAGCACATCGGCCACCACAAAGGTGGTAAAGGTAACGTTTTTAATTTCATTTTTTTAGAAACCAAATTAGATTTTTTCTTAACAATGTTTTAACTTACGTTTTAGAAATCTTAATTTTTTAAAACATAAATTTTTTTAAGTAACTGAATGAGATTACAAAAATGTATTTTCGTAGTGTATTTTTTTATATTAATGAATGTTGTAACTATATTGATGAATTTTTTTAATTTTACAGTATTTTTGATCGTAAATTAAACTTAGTAGCCAAAAATGGCACAGCGGCCACAAAAGGGTTCTTCACCCTATTTTTTCACATTTTATTTAGTAGTTAAAGAGAGGCTGACAATAGTGACTGAGTTTCTTGCGCTGCTTCTTCTCAGCACTGGCCCATTTATTGTCCCGAAGCAGTGGTAGGGTTAATACTGGGACGTGTAAAAGTGCTTTTTAAAAGCCTATTTGCAAAAATTTATGAGTTTTTTATAATGTGTTGTGATATTTTTGTCAGGAGTGGCCGGTCTGAGGAGCCAAGTGGACAAACTGACGGGAGGCGTCGGTCCTTCAGAATTCCCTGAAGTATTGGCCAACTTGATGGACGAAGTTGGTAAGTTACTTTCATCATCATCATCATTTCAGCCACAGGACGTCCACTGCTGAACATATCTCCCAATGGTTTCCGCATCGCCCGGTTGGTAGCGGCCTGCATCCAGCGCCTTCCTGCTACCTTTATGAGGTCATCGGCCCACCTTGTGGGTGGGTGGACGTCCCAAGCTGCTTCCTTCTCAGAACCATGCTGCCTCATGGCCCCATTGCTCGATGTTTCTTTACGAGAACGAATCAGAAATGAGGAGATCCGTAGACGAACTGAAGTCGCTGACATAGCCCGACGGATTAGCAAGCTGAAGTGGCAATGGGCAGGGCACATAGCAGTAGTTACTTTACTAAGTGAATATTTTTTATCCACAACGAGGAGGCTCTTGGCCTGCATCTCACTTGATAGAAAGTGATGATCAGGTGAAGGTGGAAGCGAGCTTCACCCGGAATCCTCAACCCAGGCTATACATAACCCACAAAAGCGTAAAAACTGATCCATTTTCGGGTTGATAAGTGTGCTTCGTCCCTTATGCTAATAATAACGCCATATTCGTTTTATTTCAGACATGAAAGGCACATTCGACACCATGATAACCTGTACAAGGGCCTCAGGTAAATTAATTTAAATAAAAAAATTACAATTTCATTTCATTTTTAAGAATAAATTTTCCTAATAAATGCATTTTGAATCACCCCATACATAATATTAATATTAACTCCTTTACTAATAAAAAGTTACACAGTTGTTGAACACTGTTTTAAAATGACATTTCTATACTAAACGTCACTTTAAAACACTGTTCAACGAGCGTGTAAGTTTTATTAGTAAGGGGGTTAGTGACCATGAAAGTTTAACACAATAGTAAATTCATTTTTGATGAACAACTTGCAGAGATCGGAGAAGCTATCAAGATCTTTAACCAGATTCTGAGGACGGACAGTTTCGCCAAGAGCATCGTCTTGATGAAGGAAGCCACTGGACAGAAACGTAAGTATCCTTCATCATCAGGTCATTTAAGAACAACATCATCAGTGGGCTGAGTGTGAGTTTACATAAAAAATCCGGGCGTTTTCAAGGCGAGAGCGAATAGGCACTTACAGGGCAGATATGTACCATCCTAGACTGCATCCCACTTAACACCAGCCCCCCTAGACAAAACGCACTTTTTGATCGAATCGAAAATCGAATCCGTCAAAACTCCATACAAAAAAGGGGCTTTTCGACCACTTTTCGACTGGTTTGCGATTATAATTTGCACTTTGTCTAGACCCACAGGTGCGATTGTGGTCAAATATCTGCATAAAAAAAAAATCAAAAATATATGAAAATTTTAGTTTTTGAACGTTTCCCGCTAGGGGGCGCTGTACAATCCGTCATACATTAAATGTCATTTTTTGACGCACTCACTCACAGATATGGATTAGAGTAGATACAGCAAGTTGATCGTCAAAGCGTGCCATTCCGATATGTCCAAATGGACATACATGGTCGAGTGATGTTCATGTAATCCGATTACAACAATCGGTTACGATGATTTTACGAGGACAGTAGTACGAACACGGTAGAAAGAAGAAATTATTTACGGATTGAGATTGTAATTAACAGCACAAGTAACAATTAATTAATTAGAATAAAGTAGCAGTAGAAGAAGTATAAAGTAGCATTGTTTTTAATACATATCCTGTGATGTACTCTTATGAGTTAAAACCATAGTCCCTGTATGTGGTGCACTCATACCGATCCCAAGGAACCGTACTTACTCATAACAATAAGACACACACTGATCCATGTATTCATGCACTTGACAAATTTTTGTCTTGAAACACTAGTAGGGTAAAAAAAAAACGAGATTTAACGTTTTGTAAGAATTAATTTTTTCTAATTTACTATCGAAAAACAAGATGTTTTTGGTTTTGTATTTAACAAATTATCAGTTTTATCGGAATTAATTAATTGTCGAATCGAGTCACACGATATCTTTCGATGACTTTGCGAATGCAGTACGATGATACGATTATTTTTACGTTGCGGCAATCACCAAAATTCGCTAAAATGACACTAATGACGTTTAAAAAGTGGCACGCTCGGCTTCATACAAAATTTTTCACATGCTGCATCTATCCATATCTGTGCACTCACTAGTGAGCGTGTTTGCTGTAAACTCGCACTAGGCCCTCAGATCATTTTGTCTCCACTGCAGGATCACGACTCTAATATCGGAGGCAAATGGAGGATTTGGCTTACACTCCCCACGCTGGCCAGACGGGTTGGGGAGACATTTAAGGACGAAGCACACTAAGGAAAACTTCGTTCGTTCGTTCGTTTCAGCCGAAAGACGTCCACTGCTGGACATAGGCTACCCCAAGGATTTCCACAAAGACCGGTCCTGCGCCGCTCGCATCCAGGCACCTCCCGCGACCTTCACCAGATCGCAAAAACAAACTTATCAACTCGGAAAGGGATCAACACCGTATTGCCTTTCGCGCACTGTCATTGCCTTTTGAGCTCTGTCAACCGCGAGGCGAGGCGTTTACGTTACTGAGCGGGCGGATGTGAGCGTTGCAGTATGGAGTTTCATACAAAGACTAATAACCGCCTCGAGTTGATACGGTTACGATCCGTTTCCGGGTTGATAAGTGTGCTTCGTCCTTTAGTCTCTACTGTAGGCACGACAATATTTTTTCGAACTCCTCATTCTTCCATTTCCAACCATAGAGACATAGAGTAGTCGACATCATTAAACGCCTAATTATTACTTTCATATTTTCTTTTCAGAATTGAAGTACGCGATAGAAGACCTCACCCAAGAAATCAGCAGGACGAGTAAGTTGTACTTAAATTATGATATACAGGGTGTTAGGTTAATCTATATATATAAAAGAAAGTCGTGTTAGTTACTTCGCTTATAACTCAAGAACGGCTGAACCGATTTAGCTGAAAATTGTCAGGGAGGTAGTTTAGAGCCAGGAGAAGGACATAGGATACTTTTTATCCCGTTCGAAATTTAAAAAAAGTCTGCTTATTTATTGCCATTAAGGCGGAACAAAGTTCGCCGGGTCAGCTAGTAAATTTTATAAAATCCGATTTGTATGAAAATTAAAATAATTAAAATGTAGATATCAATTTTCTGACTTCACTATACCATTTATATGACCATGTTAACATGGGCTAGTGTCGGCTCATATAGCCATTTACCTAACACCCTGTAAAGTTATCAAAAGGGCTACTAATATAAGGTTCTGTACTTTCGTTCTAGCCTAAAAAATTACTTTTAGTCTGTCAATTACATTATGAAAATATTAGGTATTGAACACGTATATTTTTCTTTGTCAACATTAATAACGAAGTTATAGTGCGTTGAAGTACCGCGTGATGTCACAAAGTGCTAAACTTTTAAGCACTTCTTGACATCACGGGCCTCTTCTTAACTTTGGCGGGCTAAAGATAAATCAACTTTCATTAGTTTGAAAAAGTGAAAAATATGTCGATACATTTTTGATAAGTTAACTGACGGACTAATTAAAACTCTTGCTGTTTTACCCAGGAAACATCCCTAACATACAATATTTCTGAATTAACATAAGCGGTCGGAAGTTTGCCACGTCAGCTAGTATCCTATAGAACTGTTACAGAAAGTTGGCATACTTGAAAGGTCCTAAGTCCCCTAGATGGGGCAGAGGGCGTCCACAACAGTCCTCCATCGCGTTCGGTCTTGAGCTTCGCGTTTGATCTCGCTCCAAGTCTTGCCGATTTTCTTCGCCAGTGCGCCGCCAAGTTTGCTTGGGGCGACCACGTTTGCGTTTTCCTTGGGGGTTCCAATCCAGGGCCTGCTTGGAGCTGTGATCGGTGTATTTAGAGAGTGTAACCGATCCAGTTCCACTTGCGGCGCTTGATATATGCTGCTGATACAAAAGATTAATGTGTGTTTTTCTCCAGGTCTCCGAATCATCGTGGAGTCGCTATACAAGATCACTGGTCGCGCCAACCTTCGGCAAGTGCAAGCACTGTTCAAACGCCTCTTCAAGATTGACAGTATGTACATAGATGATATATTTATATATACGAGTGGTGTTATCAGAGCCTTTATACAAGTCAACTATAATAACAAACATTTTCAAAATCAGTTTTGAATCTACTTTGTAATCTATTCAAAAACCTTTATCCATTCCAAATCACGATTAAACCCTTTATTTTAGAGAACTTCAAAAAACCAAATTTTAGAATCTTAAGCGTACCGTGTAGTACAATTAATTTTTTAAGTACCTACTTAAGCAAGTCTTGGCTACAAATCTATGACAAATATAGACTTCTCTCCTTATCCTTACGCGATTTCTACCAAGCGAAGAAGAGAGGGGATTCGGTTTAGAAATCAGCCCCCTAAACAAGTTGCACTTTTTGATCGAATCGAATTCGTCAAAACTCCATACAAAAAAAGGCTTTTCGACCATTTTTCGACTGGTTTCCGATAATTATGTGATTGGTTATCCAAACACACCTCTTCAGCTCTCCACTTTGGTGGAAACCGAACCTGAGCTAAAAGCAAGGTACATCCTTATAAACACAGCTAACGAAAACCTTTTTTCAGATATCGTCGCTGTGATCGCCAGGATCAACAAAGTGAGCAAGCGCCGCGACGCCATCTTCTTCCTGACGTCACTCCTTGACATCACCCAAACGAAAAACCTTGAAGACTGCAACACCGTCATCAAGGGACTCTCCAGTGATAAGGGTAAGCTTAGAAGTTTTGGAAGGCTGTTAGAAGCTTTGCACTGGAGGGAAGTCGAACCTTATCTTCGAAAACCTATGTTCTTCTGATTAATTTCGTTGCGGGTCCAATGACAGTTTAACTTTCCCCGGGACAAAGTTGACCTTCACTGGTTGGGTTGTTGGCGGTCAAGCTGTAGATCCTGGCTACACAGGAGTTGCAGCGGTGGGAACGAGAGGTGGGAATAGTCCTGTACCCGGAAATTTTGCATGCGTGTGTAAATTGCGTGAAAAATCAATATTATGATGACATGGAGGTGATCTGATGATTAAGTTGGAAGGCGGCCATAGGAAATCTGCAATAAAACGAAACAAACCCATTATGTTTGTATTCGTTTGCTTCATATTGACCATAACAAAAGCATATTTGAAAAATACTTTCCTATTTGCTATTGCATCAGTCTAATGTCCAGGCTGTATTCTAGGTGTTTCAAACGTGCCTAAATACTGTACAAATTGTTAAATATTTTTGATTTGATTTGATTTTGTTACAGATACCACCATGCTGGATATCCTGGAGCAAATCAGGATAAAGACAGGACACGAAGACATCATTGACTTCTTCAAGAAGCTCATCTCTTACACTGGAACCAAATGTAAGTTAGACCAGTTAGGCTTAAGGTCATAGCAGACATATCGACTCGGAAAGGGATCAACACCGTATTTCTTTTTGCGAGCTGTCATCGCCTTTTGCGCGCTGTCAACCATGAGGCGAGGAGTACAACAATGGTGCGGATAAGTGTGCGTTGAAGTTCGGAGTTTCATGCAAAGAATACTGACTGCCTCGAGTTGATACGGCTACGAATACGATCCCTTTCAATTATTAATAATAACTTTAAAAAACGAACTGACTAAGGCGGGGATTGAACCCACGACCTTTCGCTTGCCGGGCGACTGCTCTTTCTACTGAGCTACTTAGACACTGGATGAACCCGTCGAAGTTTTCAAGTGTAATACGCTGTTACGGCCAGCGTTTGCTTCATCAATGTTTTCACCTACCCTTAATATCTAACAGAAATATTATATGTGTATGAAATTCAAACGGATCGGTTTTTTGGGGGACACTGTAAACATGATATTAATATTAAAACACGTATTAATGGGAAGTCAATGTAATAATTTTATCATGAATTAAATTTAAATGGTTATCTAACATTATTTTACTATTTTCAGCGGTGCAACAAGCCTGGGAAATCATTCGCAAGGTTACTCAAACAATCGGTGAGTATTGAACTATTCAGAATTTCTATATAACTTAGGTTAAATACCGTTAAATATTAATATCTTGAAGTCATATTCTAGACACAAGCCCAAGTAACTCTGAAGCGATTGACGATAGCGTTAAAATAATTTGATTAGCAATAAACGATTTCTAATCACGGCATATGTTGAGTCCCATTGCAATCAATGGGCATTACTACATTGCAAGAAGGTAGCACTTTTGTTTATCTTTTATTTCTTACTTATTATATTTTAAAGCTACCGTTATCTCCATTAGGTTACTTAAACCTTTGTTTTGTCACCTGTCATCCGCTTTGCACTGGAGAAAAGTCGAACTTTAACTTCGAACTCCTATGTTCTTCTGATTAATTTCGTTGCGGGTCCAATGACAGTTTAACCTACCCTCGGGACAAACTTGACCTTCACTGGTTGGGTTATTGGCGGTCAAGCTGTAGATCCTGGCTACACAGGAGTTGCAGCGGTGGGAACGAGAAGTGGGAATACCATATCTTTATGTATCTTTGTGAGATATCCTTTATAATAAACATTTCTTTCTAATCCCCATTTTTTTCCAGACATCTTCGAGTTCTGCAGACGCGTGTATAAGTTCACGAAGGTGGAAATCATCATCTTCATCGAAACTATCATAAGGATCACTAATTCGACCAGCTTCAGTTCTGCTGCCCAGAAGTTCGTGAAAATCACCAATGCGAAACGTGAGTACAAAAAACCTTTTTAGGGTTCCGTAGTCCTGACAAGGTTCCCTTATAGTTTCGATATGTCTGTAGGTGTGTATATTAATCACGCCGACAAAACGGTATAGTAAACTGTTGAAAAAAAATTTTTTTTAGGGGAGCTCCCCTACATGTAAAGTGGATGTTTTTTTTTTTCATCTTTTACCCCATCGTGTGGGGTATCTTTGGATAGGTCTTTTAAAATGGCTTAGGGGTTCGTAAGACTATTTTTCCATTTAGGGATCTGTTTGCAAATTATTAAAGTGCCAAATTTTGTTCGAGTAGGCCTATTTGCAAAAATGAAATAATGAGTTTTTTCATGTACTAGATACCTAAGGTTAGGCTAAAAAATATTTCCAAAAAAACATTTTTCCTAGCGGTATTAAGTTACTATTTTTATAACATTACACTTCACTGTGTACCTGGGTGAATATCAACAAACTCATTTTTTGCCTAATTCCGGTGGCGAATTTTAATTTCCACTTTCCAAAACTTTTTTGTGGCAGAAATAATAGTAAATAACTTGTATTATTCAATGATATGGTAGAGATCAAAATATTATTAAAACTTCTCGAGATATGTTAATTTGAAATTATCAAGAGCCACCGAAATTGTATTTGAGCCACCGGAATTAAGAATCAATCCACCGAAATTTATTTATACAGCGGAATTCGGAATGTTATGGATAATTGTCTAAAATTACTTATTTATTTGTAATCAATTAAGTATTATTATCCAGTAAAGATGTTTATAATTAAAAACAATATTCAGGCCTGTATTGTGACCCTAAAAAAGCATCAGATCTTCCCATGTGAGTCGTAAGAGCCAACTAAGCAATCAAAATACTGGAGGGTGGGCTGCAGCATCTTTCCAGGTATTATACTACCATACTGGAACTACCAACCAGCCTGCTAAGCATGGTGATAACGGCAAAATCCCTCCATAGAGAACAAATCCAAAACTTTCTGGCTCTAGCCGCCAACAGCCCCGTTATTATAGACTCATCACAAAGACATCATACATGACTCTCAAACCCAGAAACCAACTCTAGTCCCGGGAGGGCGACCAACTGCCCCAGGTTGGCGTTAGGTTTATCTTCCATAAGTAAAAATGTTGGTCCAGGTTAGCCAAGTTTTCATGATGGTATCATACCTATCCGACACTCAGAATTACGCTACTAATTATTCGCTAAAGACCATGCGAACTGCAGATTAAGTATGAAAATATTTTTAGATCTATACCAGCTACTGAACTAACACATTACATGTTTGTGACAGGCTAATTTAACGGAAAACTATGCAAACCTAGCGACAATGAGCTAAATGAAAGTAGTACAATTAAGAAACGGAGGACTAAATCCAGCCAGCCTCATGGAGAGAGAAGGCCTAGCAAAAGATGCCAGAACTGTAAAAGCGTACTGAGCTGCACCCTAATAGTACTGCAAAAATCAAAATGTAAATCAAAATACTGGAGGGTGGGCTGCAGCATCTTTCCAGGTATTATACTACCATACTGGAACTACCAACCAGCCTGCTAAGCATGGTGATAACGGCAAAATCCCTCCATAGAGAACAAATCCAAAACTTTCTGGCTCTAGCCGCCAACAGCCCCGTTATTATAGACTCATCACAAAGACATCATACATGACTCTCAAACCCAGAAACCAACTCTAGTCCCGGGAGGGCGACCAACTGCCCCAGGTTGGCGTTAGGTTTATCTTCCATAAGTAAAAATGTTGGTCCAGGTTAGCCAAGTTTTCATGATGGTATCATACCTATCCGACACTCAGAATTACGCTACTAATTATTCGCTAAAGACCATGCCAACTGCAGATTAAGTATGAAAATATTTTTAGATCTATACCAGCTACTCAACTAACACATTACATGTTTGTGACAGGCTAATTTAACGGAAAACTATGCAAACCTAGCGACAATGAGCTAAATGAAAGTAGTACAATTAAGAAACGGAGGACTAAATCCAGCCAGCCTCATGGAGAGAGAAGACCTAGCAAAAGATGCCAGAACTGTAAAAGCGTACTGAGCTGCACCCTAATAGTACTGCAAAAATCAAAATGTAGTAATCATTTTTAGACGAACAGGCAATTTAATCACATGTGCATTCTCCGATCACCACACAGCTTATGACCGCAGTCTATGGAGGAACACTATCTGCGGTCGCGATCCTCATCAGTGAGGGACTGAGGAAGAAGAAGAAGTGATCACCGAAATAGAAGAATTCCGAATAAAAGATGCTCAAAAGATGTCGACTGATGAAGCCTAAGCCACGACCAGTGCCAATCCAAAACCCCACGAATTTTCAGCTCGAGTGGCAGAATAGATTGCAACCTACGAGACTAGGGAAATTTTAGCTGTTTCAGAACTATTATTATCTGTTTTTAAGATTTTGCTTAGTATCGATGTATAAATAGCCATCCAAGTCCTCACGCTGATACAAAGTGTATTATAGAGACATTTTTTTTTGTAATAAATCGAAAGTATGTATTTGCGAGGACCAAATTGAATATACCTACCAACATGAATAAGGAAGATAGCAGAATCATTTTGGTAAATGCCTAAGCTGCTAGGAGATATTAAGAAGCACTACTAGTAATTAGGCTGAAGATCGAGATTATTCCGACACTGTAGCGAAGATATCCTAGACTTTAGCTTGAGCGAGATTAGAATGCCCTATTAAAAACAACAAGGTATGTACCAGGAGATAATGAAATCACAACTGAGCTTATGAAATCAGATGGAATGCTAGTACTAAAGTTCCCTTAAATACCACCATGTTTATTGGCCGATAAACCAAAAAATAAGACATGGTGGTGGTGGTAGAGACTGGAATGGAATGGACGTTGGCGATGGTCCAGAGTCAGGTGAGGCCTCCTGCTTCGGGCTTCACCGCTTTTTCCTGAAATACGACACTCTTGCTATCCAACAGTCAGTTCCAGTCTACCAGACTGGATGACACAATGACAACCTCATTTTCGAAAAGACGTTCGTAATACTACGTACATATTTAATGCCGCGTCAAATTATGCAGAAGACTGAGGACTATAATCAGTCATTATTATTGGACTTTTTGTACATATTTCGATTCGGTCAAGACCTGGGCTGTGCTACAGTCTCTTTAAGGGCGTCAAATTGACTGTCGATACATGCAACTTCTGAAGTATTTGTATGAAAACTTCATCATATCAGCCCTCCCCCAAGATCAGAACTCGAAACTTATCTGATTGCTGCGAGGGTTCAGAGTTGGAGACACCATAATCTCTTAAAGTCTTCACTACCTCCCACTTAGAGGTTTTCAAGCTTCGGAGCTAGACCGAGCTCAGTATCAAGATACGGCGAGTACATCACACAACTTCGACTCACTGACGTAGTTGACTCATTGTAGTTATGGCTGAGATCTTAGTAGACCTAGGTACAATGTTCCAGAGCCAATAAGACCAATTCTGGCAATAGATTCGCCACCGGAGCCACCGAAATTGCGCCACCGAAATTAAAAATTTGTTACAAAATTCAAATTATAATGAAAACTATAATTCTGATCAATAATTTCTGTATGCAGATACAACAAAACACCAAACTTTAATCATGTTAAAGAATCGTTTAGCATCTAAGTAAGTAGCTTTCACTCATACACTTGACAGCGAAATTGAAAAATTTTGTATTCCTGTGCCGCTGATACAAATATTTACGGGTCTGCTGGAAAAACAATACCACAAGTCGCAAGTCTTTATAGCCCGATCAGGAGGACACGAAAACTATAATTCTGATCAATAATTTCTGTATGCAGATACAACAAAACACCAAACTTTAATCATGTTAAAGAATCGTTTAGCATCTAAGTAAGTAGCTTTCACTCATACACTTGACAGCGAAATTGAAAAATTTTGTATTCCTGTGCCGCTGATACAAATATTTACGGGTCTGCTGGAAAAACAATACCACAAGTCGCAAGTCTTTATAGCCCGATCAGGAGGACACAGCTGAGTGATGCAGGGAAGAATAACTCTACGTCTCTCAAAGCTTCTTTGGAGAAGTAAGAGAGTGTCGAAATTGAGCCACTGTAATTGCTTTTTTTCGTGGGACAGTTTTGTAAGGCTATTTAAAACACTTAAAATATGAAATATCACATTTCTTTTATATCATTTGGAAGTCTTATTTAATGTATTTTATGGCTATACTATTCTTAAATTACTAGAGTCCCCGAGAAAGAAGGAATAACACAGTTTATGAGTAGAAATAGAGTTAGGACGCGCCACCGCTATTAGATTTTGGGTCTTTGAAAAAATTTTTAGCACATAAAATAACTACCTATTGTCCTGAAGACTTTGCTATCGTGTAAAACGCTGTTTAAACTATATACAGAAAAAAAAATCATCGCTCTAGTTACATTTCTCCCATCGATTCTCAGCTCCGCCGCGTAAAAAACGTGTTTGGGATATTCACCCACCTACGTTGTGACTTATTATTTCTTTTTGTTTCAGATTTCATGCATTCGTTGGAAATCATCTACACGATCATTGAAATGGGTATGTACCTATTACTCAATTTATAGCTATTGTATTGAAGTGTGTTAATGTTTGGCTTTGTATTTTTATTTACAACATTATTAATTTTGAAATTCCTTCGCAGATATCATCAAGTTCTTCGAAATCATCATTACCATCAGCAAACGATTCTGTAAGTGACTTTTCTAACATTCAATACTTTCCCCCTGGACAATCTTGACCTTCACTGGTTGGGTTATTGGCGGTCAAGCTGTAGATCCTGGCTACACAGGAGTTCTCTTGCAAACTTTCCAAACTTGAAAAATCCGAAATAAAATTTAAATAAAAAGCATTGTGCTTAGAGTTCCTTTAAGTTGTTTTTAAATCTAACTAATTTAATTATTAATTTTCTTTTTCAGACTTCGAGGAATGTATCACCATAATTGAAGAATACACCGAGTGCAATGGTAAGTATCCTACTAATATTATAAATGCGAAAGTTTGGATGTCTGGATGTCTGGATGTTTGTTGCTCTTTCACGCAAAAACTACTGAACGGATTTTGATTAAACTTTACAGTATTATTGTTTATAACCCAGAATAACATATAGGCTATAATTTATGAAGATCTGTGACAAACTAAATTTCACGCGGGTGAAGCCGCGGGCAAAAGCTAGTTATCGTATATTTAAATACTATTAATTTTATCAGTATATTATTTAGAGTTTGCGGGTAGAAGATAGAAAGAGCGCCTCGCTCTCTGAAAGGGTGCGGATTACTCACGCTACAACCTTTGCCGCGAGCGGACGTATGCTTACTGCAAACTTTTATTTATATTATTCATATTTTTTCAGATTTCATCACAGCGTTGAAGAGAGTGAAGCGAGCTACCGGACAGAAAAGTAAGTCAACGTTCTAAATAATAAAATATCCATTTATTATCCATAATTTTTACACTATTACTTTTATTTCAGTTTAAAGTTATTTGATGATTCTAAAATCAGTCTAAAATGTGACTCTAAAAAATGAGTAACGCTGTTGCTATCAATCCTAATCCATCCATCAAATTTCAATGTTTTTGTTCAAAATATCTATAATTGTCGATGTTTTTACATTTTTATATTGTTGTAAGACTATTTTTAACATTATTAAAGTGTAAATACATCGAAAATTATGGATATTTAATCGAAAACAGAATAATTGACAGTAAAGAGGACGGATTTGGATTGGGATAGAATAAGGCAAACCGGCCTTACGCGTATTCACAAACATTACTATGAGGTCTCATAGTGCGACAAACGAACCAATCACACAGCCAACGCTGAAAAAGAGGCTGACAATTAAATAGTGTCTGAGTTTCTTGCGCTGCTTCTTCTCAGCACTGGCCCATTTATTGTCCTGAAGCAGTGGTTAATACTGGGACGTGTAAAAGTGCTTTTTTAAAGCCTATTTACAGAAATAAATGAGTTTTTAGAGTTTTTTTTTTTAGTTTTATGTGCGTTCGATTTGCTGCTTCACTTAAGCAAGCATCGTTTATGAATACGGGCGTTAGTGGATATTCTGATTCCATTTTAGTATAACACAACATTCTGTGCGAGTTGTAAGAAATGAGGGTTTAACTAAAGCGTGTTTTCACAGCTATCGTGTCGGCCATAGAGCACATTAAGCAGAAGAAACCTAAGGCCGCCACCTTCACCTCTACCACCGAAGCACCCACCACTACTCAGGTATGTTATGCGAAAATCTGTTCATACCTAGTTATTTTTTATAGATCGTTTGATCTACGAAGACACGTCCCACCTATGTTTCGTCCAGGGATGTTATGGATATCCGTAACCGTAATCGAAACTTTCGGATATCCGAAATAACAAAATATCCGATACCGTAAACGTAACCGATTCAAAAGTTTCGGATAATAATCATAATCATAAATCTTTATTGCTTCATGTGGTACAAACAAGGTATTAAAAATAAAATAGTTTCGGATGTAGGCAGTTTCAATTGTTTTTTGTATAGCATTATAATTATGTAAAGGCATAACAGCCTGATTTACCTTTATAATGCCATCTAGTATCAATTTTTATTTTTTTATTATACTTTTTATTCGATGTAAAGTGTGCGGCCATGAATGAACCGTGTTTGACAACTATTGCAAATTGCATTGTAAAGCACAGATATCCGTAACCGTAACCGAAACTTTCGGTTATCCGAAATAAAACAATATCCATAACCGTAACCGAAACCGGTATAACATTATTCCTATATCCGTAACCTTATCCCATTATTTATTTTAATACCATTGGTTATTTTAACTATGAATCTAAAAACTGGGGCTAAATCAGTTTAAACCATAACTATTTTTCAGGCACCAACGACCAAGGCCCCTGTGACTAAGAAACCAGGGAAACCTCACCCAAGCCCCCACCATCACCCAAGGAACCCCAGGAAACATGGCCGCCACGACACAGGTATGACGTCATCATCATCATCATCATTTCAGCCACAGGACGTCCACTGCTGAACATAGGCCTCCCCCAATGACTTCCAAATCGCCCAGTTGGTAAAGCCCGGTCTGTGAGCACGTAGAATTTCGTCCAATGACCCCAAGCTACCCATCCTTATCGCTCGCGCGTAATTATGTTGCTGTCGCGCTCGCACACTCACTGCGGGCGCCCGTCGCACAGTCGCGACAGCAATATAATTACGCGCGAGCGATAAGGATGGGTAGCTTGGGGTCATTGGACAAAATTCTATGTGCTCCCGGACCAGGATTTAGCGGCCTGCATCCAGCGCCTTCCTGCTAACTTTATGAGGTCGTCGGTCCACCTTGTGAGACGTCCCACGCTACTCTATTCCATTCTATTATCAACTATTTTAAATAGGGGCTAAGGGCTACCTATCTTTTTTTTTATTATTTTCTATAATAATATTTTGACGTTCATAAGTGCCACTTTTGGTCTAAACTGAATAAATATTTTTTGATTTTGATTTTAATTTTTGATTTTAATACTCAAATCTTTTTTATGATTTCAGATAAAAACTTTGATGATACACAAGGTACTTACATAAAAGATGAAGAATACTCTTACTTCAATGATGATGACGACGACAAGGGACCAGGTGACAAGGGACCAAAGGGACCAGGAGACAAGGGACCAAAGGGACCAGGTGACAAGGGACCAAAGGGACCAGGAGACAAGGGACCAAAGGGACCAGGTGACAAGGGACCAAAGGGACCAGGAGACAAGGGACCAGAAGGACCAGACGACAAGGGACCAAAGGGACCAGGTGACAAGGGACCAAAGGGACCAGGTGACAAGGGACCAAAGGGACCAGGTGACAAGGGACCAAAGGGACCAGGAGACGACAAGGGACCAAAGGGACCAGGCGACAAGGGACCAAAGGGACCAGGAGACAAGGGACCAAAGGGACCAGGTGACAAGGGACCAGAAGGACCAGGCGACAAGGGACCAAAGGGACCAGGAGATAAGGGACCAAAGGCACCATGTAACAAGGGACCAAAGGGACCAGGCGACAAGGGACCACATGGACCAGGAGACAAGGGACCACATGGACCAGGAGACAAGGGACCACATGGACCAGGAGACAAGGTAATGATAATTAATTATAATTAATTTATTTTGAAGATTCGAAAGACGATACGGCATTGATTCCTTTTCAAGTTGATACAATACCCGGCGATAAATATTGCACGTCGACCTTTAGAAAGAGACAATCGGCTAATTTCGGTTTCGTAGAGCGCTATCTCTGTCGCACTTGAACAACGACTGACAATGACGTTTTGTCAAAGTGTAAACAAACTTTATTTTAAATGTGTGCAATTGATTTTGTGAAATAATTGCTAAAAACTTTTTATAGTCGTGAAAGAAAAGTGGTTCACAATGTGTTAAAGTATTTGTCGAAGAGAAATACTAAGGGTTCGGACAATATTTTCATTGAATAATGTTTTGTCAATGACGTTTTGTCAATCGTATATGTAGTGTGCGACAGAGATAACGCTCTACGAGCCGAAATTAAGCGATTGTCTCTTTCCAAAGGTCGATGTGCTATATTTATTGCCGGGTACTGTAGGTGTGCTATGACCTTTTCAGTGTGACTCGGTTGGGTGTGATTCGTTGTAGACAATGGATAATATTCCTTAATCGCTAGACACGTGAGATCATTATAATTTGGTTTTATTACCACAAAATTTGGTCTAATTGGTTCTAGAGGGTGAGCCCCAAGTGAGGCCTTTTTAGGGTTCCGTAGTCCTGACAAGGCACCCTTATAGTTTCGACTAGCAGCCGCCCGCGACTTCGTACGCGTGGATCCCGTTTTACCCCCTTCATCTATCTTACGCGGCTTAGATTGTTCATACAAAGTTTTTTTTCCCGCTAACTCCCGTTCCCGTGGGAATTTTGCAATATCCTGCTGTAACTAAGCTTTAGGTTTACTAAGGTACCTGCATGCCAAATTTCAAGCGTCCAACTTAAGCGGTTTAGATTTTTCATACAAAAGTATTTTCCCGCTAATTCCCGTTCCCGTGGGAATTTCGGAAATTCCTTTCTTAGTGCACCTCTACGGTACCTAAGCTACGTTCCTTCCAAATTTCAAATGCCTACGTTTAGCCGTTTAGGCTGTGCATCGATATGTCAGTGAGTCAGTCAGTTTATACAGGGTGGAATTTTGTAATGCCACCTGGAGGGAAAGTACTCGTAATACTGTAGATAGAACATTTTAGTGAAAGAACACATTCCTTTATTTTTGAAAAGAAAGAGAACTGCATTCAAAAATTTTCGAAACATTTTCGAAAATTCACTACCATACAATTTTCTGTACAGTCACGGAATGAAAAGGTTTGTCAGTTTTTAAATAGATTCCTTCAACAAATCGCGAGCACATATTACCTTTTGAAACTATGTTACAGAATAATCTCGAGTTAGAGAAAATAATCTTTAACTGTTCGTCAATAAAGTTCAAAATTATTCAGATCTAAGTTGTTTGATTAACAGATTTTAGTTGGTTCGATTCCCGGGTGTGGCAAGCAAATTTTTGGAAATCTTTGAATGCAGTTCTATTTCTTTTCAAAAATAAAGGAATGTTTTCTTTGAGATAATTTTTCTATCTACAATATTAAGAGTACTTTCCCTCGAGGTGGCATTACAAAATTCCACCCTGTATAAAAGGAGAAACTGACTGACATATCAACGCACAGCCAAAAGGCTAAACGTAGGCACTTGAAATTTCGAAGGGACGTAGCTTAGGTACCGTAGAGGTGCACTGAGAAAGGAATTCCCGAAATTCACAAGAGAACGGGAATGAAAGGGGAAAATCCTTTTGTATGAAAAATCTAAATCGCTTAAGTTAGACGCTTGAAATTTGGCATGCAGGTACCTTAGTAAACTTAAAGCTTAGTTACAACAGGATATTGCTAAATTCCCACGGGAACGGGAGTTAGCGGGAAAAAATCTAACCCACGCGTACGAAGTCGCGGGCGGCCGCTAGTTTTCATATAAACAATAGCATTTATTTTAGTTGCACCGCCTAACGTTAACCATAACTTAACATAACCGGTACTTTTTATGGGGTTTGATTGATTTCTGATGTTTTTTAAGGGAAGATGATTTTTGAAAATTTGACTAATTTTTTTCCTTTCCTAACACTTCAAGGGACCACATGGACCAGGTGACAAGGGACCAAAGGGACCAGGAGACAAGGGACCAGAGGGACCAGGTGACAAGGGACCAAAGGGACCAGGAGACAAGGGACCAAAGGGACCAGGAGACAAGGGACCAAAGGGACCAGGAGACAAGGGACCAAAGGGACCAGGAGACAAGGGACCAAAGGGACCAGGAGACAAGGGACCAAAGGGACCAGGAGACAAGGGACCAAAGGGACCAGGAGACAAGGGACCAAAGGGACCAGGAGACAAGGGACCAAAGGGACCAGGAGACAAGGGACCAAAGGGACCAGGAGACAAGGGACCAAAGGGACCAGGAGACAAGGGACCAAAGGGACCAGGAGACAAGGGACCAAAGGGACCAGGAGACAAGGGACCAAAGGGACCAGGAGACAAGGGACCAAAGGGACCAGGAGACAAGGGACCAAAGGGACCAGGAGACAAGGGACCAAAGGGACCAGGAGACAAGGGACCAAAGGGACCAGGAGACAAGGGACCAAAGGGACCAGGAGACAAGGGACCAAAGGGACCAGGAGACAAGGGACCAAAGGGACCAGGAGACAAGGGACCAAAGGGACCAGGAGACAAGGGACCAAAGGGACCAGGAGACAAGGGACCAAAGGGACCAGGAGACAAGGGACCAAAGGGACCAGGAGACAAGGGACCAAAGGGACCAGGAGACAAGGGACCAAAGGGACCAGGAGACAAGGGACCAAAGGGACCAGGAGACAAGGGACCAAAGGGACCAGGAGACAAGGGACCAAAGGGACCAGGAGACAAGGGACCAAAGGGACCAGGTGACAAGGGACCAAAGGGACCAGGAGACAAGGGACCAAAGGGACCAGGTGACAAGGGACCACATGGACCAGGAGACAAGGGACCACATGGACCAGGCGACAAGGGACCAAAGGGACCAGGCGACAAGGGACCACATGGACCAGGAGACAAGGTAATGATTATTAATTATAATTGATTAATTGTGATGATTAATTAGGTTTATTAACAACAGATACAGTGGTTGGATGTTTTTCCCCACGAGTAAAGGACGAAGCACACTTATCAACCCGGAAACGGATCGTAACCGTGTCGATGACGTACAGTCTGAGAGGCCGCCCGCTACCGTATCAAGACTGTAGCGTAGAAACTAGGTAAGGTAGCATACCACAATCTTTAAAAACATTTATTAGCACATAGAAGAATTAAATTAGAATAAAATACTAAACTCTAAATATAATTTTTAATGCAGAATTTGCTGTTAAATTATACAGGGTGGCCAAAACAGTGAGATCTAAAAGAAAAATTTAGATTCCTTACTTACATCAAGGTGTACTTAAATCCCATGTATGTAATACGATTGTGCTTAGTTTAGGAGATAGAGTTAATTTTGTGATATTTTTTAAAATTCTATGACCTAGTAGGTTTTAAATTTTTTTAACTTTTTTTTGGGTTGACTTTTTTCAGATTTCTTTTTTTCGACAGATTTGTTATTAACTGCAGATGTTTGAAAAAAATAATCACCTTCCTATCTTTGATGCAAGATACAAAAGTTTTGATAGTAACATTAAAATTATGCTTTTATCCAGAACACTGTCAAATTTTCAACTTAAAAGTTTAAGTAAAAAAAAGAACTTCCATAAGTCCAAAACCATTTTAAAAACTGCGCCGTTTCCTGAACATTCTTAATAATACAAAAAAACACTAACCTAATGGGCCACTATTTCCTGTAATCGGTTCACTCAAGTGGTAAGTCGGAGATTCCATTACATGTTTTTGACATTCTTAGAGTGAATTTATTAATATTGGGAATCCTCTAAGTTTACATTACGGAGAACAGATTTAGAGCAGTAACTGGACAGAACATGTTTATTTAGGAAGCTCTTGCCCTGGTTTTCAGTGTGCCCCATGCCGAGTGAGGGTCACGAATCATTGGTAAAATAAATAAAATAGTAAGCTGCATAAAATTGTCTAGAAAAACATACATAAATAGTAATATTAGTGCACAGATAAATACAAAAGGCGGGAAATTGAAAATAATACTAATAAAAAGATAAAACTGTTTGTATAGGTGTGTGTGAAGTAATAGTACAGTAATATTGTGTTTTAAATTTAAATTGTTGATTACAGTAAGAGTCGTTACATAAGAGTAAAGAGTGATAGGTGAAAAACGAAAGTTTAAGTAAGCTTTCAGCTGTTTGCAACCTGACAATAATATTTTTCGCAAAATCGCATAAAAATACGAAATTTTTTCCTTGTCGCGAAAGATACGCATTATGTCACGTTCATGTTTGCAAAGATATATTAATGTAGGTACCTGTCAAAAAACTTTTATGAAATATTAATTTAATATAATTATATTACTTAGTTATTCAGTTACTATCATTATGAATTTCTATAAGTTCACGAACATTTTATCCCACCAAAAACATTCTGTAAATAACCAAAATTACAGTTAAATCAACCTATCTCAAAAACTATAAGAGATACTTTGATCAAACCAAAAATCGGTTAAAGAGTTAATTAGCATGCATCACCTCTATTTTTTTTAGAATTTTATACCCCGTAGTTATAAAAATAGAGGGGGGGGGACATACTTTTTACGACTTTGAGAGCTGATATCTCAAAAACCGTTCACTTTAAGAAAAATGTTTTTTAGAAAACTTTATATCATTTTAAAAGACCTTTCCATTGATACCCCACACGGGTATGTACATCGAAAAAAAAATTTTCATCCCTCAGTTACATGTATGGGGGGCCCCACCCCCAATTCTTTTTTTTACTATTTAGTGTCATAATTTTGTAGCGGTTCATACAACACATATTCCCATCAAATTTCATCACTGTAGTACTTATAGTTTCCGAGTAAATCGGCTGTGACAGACGGACAGACGGACAGACGGACAGACGGACAGACGGACAGACGGACAGACGGACAGACGGACAGACGGACAGACGGACAGACGGACAGACGGACAGACGGACAGACGGACAGACGGACAGACGGACAGACGGACAGACGGACAGACGGACAGACGGACAGACGGACAGACGGACAGACGGACAGACGGACAGACGGACAGACGGACAGACGGACAGACGGACAGACGGACAGACGGACAGACGGACAGACGGACAGACGGACAGACGGACAGACGGACAGACGGACAGACGGACAGACGGACAGACGGACAGACGGACAGACGGACAGACGGACAGACGGACAGACGGACAGACGGACAGACGGACAGACGGACAGACGGACAGACGGACAGACGGACAGACGGACAGACGGACAGACGGACAGACGGACAGACGGACAGACGGACAGACGGACAGACGGACAGACGGACAGACGGACAGACGGACAGACGGACAGACGGACAGACGGACAGACGGACATGACGAAACTATAAGGGTTCCGTTTTTGCCATTTTGGCTACGGAACCCTAAAAATTAGCCAAGTCTCGATGCAGCTGCTTGTTTATCTCTAAAAAGTAATGAAATCTAGACAAAGTCGTGCCAAGTCTATGGTTCCTTACTGCGATTTCTTTATTATTATACAGGGTGAAATTTTGTAATGCCACCTGGAGGGAAAGTACTCTTAATACTGTAGACAGGAAATTTTACTAAAAGAAAACATTCCTTTATTTTTTAAAAGAAAGAGAAATGCATTCAAAAATTTTCGATTTTTTTTCTAAAATTCACCATACATACCATAAAATTTTCTGTACATAATTAAAATAATTTAAGGTGTTCATGGTTTTCCTTTCATTTGATTTATCAAGTTTGTTAGAGAGATTCCATCCTTATACTTAACCCTAACGATCGATGTAGTAAAAATACAGGGTGTAATTTTTAACAGATTTTAGTTGGTTCGATTCCCGGGTGTGGCAAGCAAATTTTTGGAAATATTTGAATGCAGTTCTATTTCTTTTCAAAAATTAAGGAATGTTTTCTTTGAGAATGTTTTTCTATCTACAAAATTCCACCCTGTAGTTAATATTGTGTGACTTGGCCGTTGAACAATCTTTATTAAGTTATGATGTGTTATTTGCTTTTTTTATTTACATCTTTTGTCTTTTGTGATGTCCATGGCAATAAATGTTTCTTTCTTTCTTTATCATACATAGTATTATTAAAATACGCAGCTTTATTAAGCCTACAATTGACTGGTTATTGAATCAACGTTTTCCAAGTGGCAATTCAAACAAAAAATTTATCGATATATTTTATGCATTATTGATTGACAATACTGATATATCTGAAAAATTGTTGGCCCAATGGCGGTTGTGGCCTCAACAATTCCGTAGAAAAATAACAAAATGGATCTTAGGACCCCAAGTTGGAGCTTGCGATCTTAAAACTTCCGTAGAAAAAGGCCCTAATGGCTCTTAGGACCCCAGTTTAGGGCGTGGCTTGTGATAATACAACTGAGAATAAGAAAATAAGCGACAAAATATTATCTAAATTAAAATAATTATTACAATACCTCAGTTCTAATCAGTCAATAAGAGGTCCATACACACTATCCTAGCGAAAAATTATCATTATCGTGATAACTTTTTGAAATAAACACAAGAATGTCTCTCCAGAAAAATTGCTGTTTTGCAATTTTTGTTGGGTACGACGAAGTATTCGTTGCTATATGAAGTTTCATACAAAGAATACTGACCGCCTCGAGTTGATACGGTTACGAGCCCTTTCCGGGTTGATAAGTGTGCTACGACCCTTATTTAGCATTAATCTATTTATTTTAGCATTTTATTTTAGTTGCATGCGAAATCATAGCAATGATTAAATTAATTGAAATTGCGAATTTTCATCAATGCTAATTATTTTCATAGCACTCACTATTTCGCAATTTTATATGATTATATTTTTTTATAAAATAACCGTCATATTCTTTGAATTTTCATACAGGGTGTCCCAGAATGAGTGAATTAAACTGCTAGGGGAGGTAGCTCTACTAATGTAATATCACTAAAAAATATGATTTTTTTATTGAAAGCAATAAAGTGCTCTAAACTCGAAATCTAGTCATTATTTTCAAAAGTTTGTTTACAGATAAACGAAGCGATCATGTACAATTAATATTAGTAAGTAAAAAGTACAAATAAACTCCAAACGCAGCAATTATAGCCAGATACTTAGGCAAAGCTGATTTATTTTCACTTAAAAAAAAATGTGTCCTTATGCGCTTCATTTTTTCTATATTTTTTAAGTCTGTACATCAGTAAAGCTACCTCCCCTAGCAGTTTGATTCACCCATTCTGGGACACCCTGTATGAAAATTCAAAGAATATTATTATGATGGTTATTTTATGAAAAAATATAACATACCAATAGCATTTATTTTAGTTGCACCGCCTAACGTTAAACATAACTTAACATAACCGGTACTTTTTATGGGGTTTGATTGATTTCTGATGTTTTTTAAGGGAAGATGGAGCCCAGTCTAAGAAAAAAAAATTTGACTAATTTTTTTCCTTTCCTAACACTTCAAGGGACCACATGGACCAGGTGACAAGGGACCAAAGGGACCAGGAGACAAGGGACCAGAAGGACCAGGCGACAAGGGACCAAAGGGACCAGGAGACAAGGGACCAGAAGGACCAGGCGACAAGGGACCAAAGGGACCAGGGACAAGGGACCAAAGGGACCAGGAGACAAGGGACCAGAAGGACCAGGTGACAAGGGACCAAAGGGACCAGGAGACAAGGGACCAGAAGGACCAGGCGACAAGGGACCAAAGGGACCAGGGGACAAGGGACCAAAGGGACCAGGTGACAAGGGACCAGAAGGACCAGGCGACAAGGGACCAAGGGGACCAGGAGACAAGGGACCAAAGGGACCAGGAGACAAGGGACCAGAAGGACCAGGCGACAAGGGACCAAAGGGACCAGGAGACAAGGGACCAGAAGGACCAGGTGACAAGGGACCAGAAGGACCAAATGACAATTGGATATCTGTGCCAGGACAACCAAGTCAACCAGGTTTACCAGGGCAACCAGGACAATCAGGACAACCAAGCATACCAGGACAACCAGGTCAACCAGGACAACAAAGCATACCAGGACAACCAGGTCTACCAGGACAACCAGGACAACCAAGCATACCAGGAGGACCAGGGCAACCAGGACTCCCAGGAGTGCCAGGGCAACCAGGGCAACCAGGACAACCAGGACAACCAGGGCAATCACTCGAAGAACCAGAGTGGGACGAACCACGTTATCCATACTATCCAAGACCAGGCAAGTTTTTTTATTTATTTTTATCTCTTACCAGCTTTTGCCCGCGGCTTCACCCGCGTTAAATGACACAGATTGTCATAAATTATAGCCTATTGTTATACTGGGTTATAAAGAATAATACTGTAAAGTTTCATCAAAATCCGTTCAGTAGTTTTTGCGTGAAAGAGTAATTAACATCTATCCAGACATCCAATCAAGTCAATCAATCAAATCAAATCATTTATTTGTAAAACATAGGTAAATGTAGAATTCAGGTGTCTATGAAAATGAAATTACTATGACTCTTAATAATGTAATTGAATGGCTTGACATGAATAATCTTAACATAAATATTGACAAAACAAAAATAATTCACTTCCGACAATAACATATGTATAATAATAAACACCCAACTTGATTATACGGTGCAATAACCAAATTGTAGAATCAGTTGACTCTACAAAGTTCTTAGGTATACTTAAGTAGACATAGATTATCAAACAAGATGGACGACGCACATTAACGACCTGTGCACACGCATCAACAAGTTTGTATATGTGTTACGGTTAATGTGATAAATTGAAAATTATTAATAATAACCGGTTATTATGAATAATTCCCGACAGTCGCGGTGAAAGTGATGAATTAATCACATTTAACAGTGATTATTTAATAATTCAACC